AGTTTCAGCAGCGGCTGAATCTGGACGCCAGTTCTGACTTACATACAGATTCAACTTAAGAACAAACCTACAGTCCCTATCTTGTACGTAACCCAGGGACTGCCTGTACTTGAGTTCTTGTTTGTGAGCTAATCTCACTTACTGTAAAATGACTCTTGGTCTACAATTGGCTTAGCACAGGGGTGGGCAATAATTTGTGATGGGGGGCCACACCAGTATTTTGGTAAGTGGTCAAGGGCCGCACTTTTCAATGGAGGGGCTATGTGGTTTGGGATGGAGGTTGGGTGAAGAAGGGAGCTCTGGGTGGGGTCTGAGAGGAAGTTTGGGTGAAGGAGGAGCTGTGATCTGAGGAAGGGTATTGGAGTACTGGGTCTGGTAGGGGTATGGGTGCAGGAGAGGATCTGGCCTGGAGGAGGCTTTAGGAGGGGTGCAGGATCTGGGAGGGAATTGGGGGAAGCAAGTGGGATGCCAGAGGCAGGCTTTGTCTGGGAGGCGCATACCTAAGCATCTCCCAGCCAGCAGTGCTCTCAGACAGCGCTCTGTGCTGCAGGGAGGGAGAAAGAGGCTTCATGCACTGTTCCTTCCCCCAACAAAAATCTCTCGCCTCCTATTGGTCAGAAACTGACCAATGAAAGCTGAGAAATTATGCTGCATTGCCCCACCACCAGCAAAATCTCTCAACTCCCATTGGCCAGTTTTAACCCCGTAGAGGTCCTGGGCAGGGTCCGCATCACAGTGCCTCAGCATTTGGGTAGTTGCTGTGGTTTGCCTGGAGCTGGTAACGCATGTCCTCTCCCTCTGGCCGCCAGCCCCAAATGAGCTGAGCTGCAACTTTGATAGCTCTACAGCTCAAGCATGCCCAGTAAGGCAAAGGGGGTGTGACTTTCTCAGCTCTCAGGACTGGATTAACCTCCTGCTCCGTGCAGGGAGAGTGCACCCCATCACACAACCTCCACTTTAAGAGTGGGCCCACCATCATGTTCCCCACCCCCCACCAGGAAAAGAAATCAGTATTTGTGTGTGCCTTCCCCGGACTTACGTATATTGGGGGGTCCACCATTAAGGCCCCCCGCCCGCCTACTCTTCATGCAGAAATAATTGTGACAAGGAAGACGACCTTCATCAATAAGTGTAGCAGGGAACAAGTAGCTAGCAGCTCAAAGGGCTTGCCTGTAAGGGCCCTGAGTACGAGATTGAGGTCCCATGCAGGTGTTGGGTCCCTTCGTGATGGCACTTATTGTGTAGACTGCGTAGGAATAATTTAAGGGAAGGATGCGTAAAAGCCGAGTGGCCCTGTAGTGGAGGGTGCAGGGCTGCAATGGATGAGAAGTGTACTTTGATAGAACTTAAGAATAGACCGGTCTGGTGCAGGTTTAGGAGATAATGTAATATCTGTAATACCCGGTATCTGCTGGAGCGCCGTTATGTTCCAAGCACCAGACTATAAACAGGTACCATTTTTGTTTATAAGTTTTTCTGGTTGTAGGTCTGTGATAGTTCATGAGGACTTGCTGCACTGCTTCCGGGCAGGCTGTGTCTATGGGAGTCAACCAGCTAACATCCACACATGAAAATGGAGCATGTGGGTGGCAGGATGGTGTATCTGCCCGTTTCGCTGTGTGAGCAGGGAGCGGACTCGTGGGAAACGATGCGGCGGGGCTATGCTCATCTGTAAGAGGTATGGTTACCATGATTGTCTGGGCCAACTCGGAGCCATGAGGATTACCCTGGCCCGGTCCTGTTTGATTTTGAGAATTGTGCATTGGAGAAGTGGGAAAGGTGGGAATGAATATAGGAGAGGTGCTTGCCACTTTATGCTGAACACATCCTCTAGGGAGTGGAGGCCTATGCCTGCTCTGGAGCAATAGCGCACGCAACGAGTGCTTGTGCGTGTGGCAAATTGGGAACCCCCACTTCAGGAAAAGGTGTGTCAACACTGAGGGGTTGATTTCCCACTGGTGATCCTGAGGAAATTGCCTGCTGAGGTTGTCTGTCAGAACATTCTTTGCTTGGGAAGCAGGTTGCAACCACCTTTATGTTTTGTGGAATGCACCATTCCCACAGGTGAACTGCTTCCCAGAGACCTGATAGGATTGGGCTCCTCCCTGCCGGTTGATATAGCACATCATAGTAACATTGTCTGTACATAACTGAACTATTTTGTTTTGGATCAGAGGGAGGAAATGAACGCAAGTATTGCAGACTGCCCTAAGCTCAAGCAGGTTGATATGTACCTTGGTTTCCTCTGGGGTCCACGGTCCTAGAACAACACGGTGGCCTAAGCGGGATCCCCAGCCCAATAGCGAAGCATCTGTAGTGATTGTCAGTGATGCTGGAGGTTGTTGGAAAGGGACCCCTTTGCACACGTTGTCATATAGAGTCCACCATGTGAGTGAGGTTTTTTATCTTGCCTGGCACGGTAAGTCGTTTGTTTATAGGATGTATGTGTAGCTTGTATACGGTCCACAGCCATGCCTGGAGTGGTCTCAGATGGAGGCGGGCATGTGGCACCACAAACGTGGCTGCAGCCATGTGCCCTAAAAGATGAAGATAGTGTCAGGCTGTTACGCAGGGGCTGGCCTGAGCAAGGGATATAAGGTCCATGATAGCAGAGAACCTCTATACTGGTAAAGAGGCTATTGCTATGCTGCAGGCTAGATGTGCTCCTAGAAACTCTAAAGTATGGGTAGGAGTTAGTGTGTACTTCGCTAAGTTTATCTGGAGTCCCAGGCTGTTGAATTAGGGCTCTAGTGGTTTTGAGTGCCTGTTCTATGTTGTGCGCTGTGGGGCCTTTTAACAGGCCGTCATCCAAGTATGGGAATATTGTGATGTCCATTCTGTGCAGTGGGGCAGCCACCACTGCCAGGACCTTGAAAAGACCCGTGGGACCATTGAGAATCCAAAGGGTAGCACTTTGTACTGAAAGTGGAGGTCTCCTATCATAAATCATAGAAATCTCCTATGTGATGGATGTATCAAAATATGAAAATAGGCATCCTGGAGGTCAAGGGTAGACAGCCAATCTCCT